GATTGAAAGAAATGTACTCGCTGGAATTCGATCTTGTTTCATATCAGCGCGCAGACCAAGGGTAGTAGGGAAAATGATTCCAGAATCAGTGGCTCACAAACAAGGTCCAGAGTTCATGAAATTGACTGGATCTAAGGGTTTGATGCTGAATAGATTTTCTCTCTTTTCTACGGCATAGGCTTACATTCAGGATTTCAACCCTGTTGAGACTTTGTACTTTCTTTATTTTCTTTGAGGATAGTACTGTACATGGCTAATCACTAGCTTGTCCAAAGGATCCAGCATTCATATCAAAACACATAGTGTAGAATTGGACTTTTACCACTAGACTAAAAGGACAATTCCCCTATTCATAGGGCCTTAAGTTCACAATTTTTCATGCCTAACTGGTGGTCTTCATACCAGAAATGTTCATTGAACTTCACACGGGGCAGAAGGAATACCAGCCACATGACGGCAATATCGACGAAATCAAGGTTCCTGAAGACCAACACGACATGCCAAACAGATAGCAGTTCCAAGAATGGAGTTTAGCTCGTGGTTATTCAGAGATAACACCGCCTCCTAATCCCCTTTGTTGCCAGTGTGGAGTGCCTATTTTCTTTCCTTTCCGAACGGTTAGCGACATCGCACAGAGAAGCCCCAGAAAGGATTTTGAGCACCTAGCAGAAGGTTGAGCAACAAGTATTATTGCACCACCCTTCAAAGGATTGAGAGAAAAGGTAAGGCTTCACTCAGGTTTCTTCTTCCCCCCTCCCCCCCCCCCCACTCCCCCCCACTCAACCCCCAAACCATGGAAGTTGGACGATCGGCGAAAGCTCGCTGTCAGGCAGCGATGGTGGCGTGTCTGTCCGAGACTCTCTCTTGTTCTCCACCTAAAAGCGCCAACTATTCCAGCACTAAGTATGCTCGTATTATTTGGTTTGAACCCCGTCAGACCATCAATCAGCGGCAGAGCCTGGAGACCTTTTTGGCGGTAGACCTCAACAGGGGCCCAGTTTCCGCAAGAGCGTTTCGTCAAAATGACCCGTCGAAGTTACGCACGTACCAATCAATTCTCGTTGTTAAGCTCGGCCCTTCGGGAGACCAAAAGGGTCCACCAAACAGTCCATCAATCGCAGAACGACCAATTGAAATACCGATCACAATCCTGTGTGCTTCAGCGCATTCAGCATATCCTTGATTACGGAGTAATGGATTGACAGTTAATTATCTCGTGCTTTTCGGTCCCGCTGTCGTATTCTGGGGATGTATCGATGTGAGACCTTGCCCTAATCGTGTGCGTAATTGGTTGCTTCTCAGGTCCAGAATGGCTGACTAAATTATTGAGTTGCTTACAGCATCACGAACCATTTTGTAGTTCATTGACTAACTCGCTTCTTACATCCATCTGCTGGAAAGGGAAATTGGACCCTGGAACAATGCTGTGAGGTTTTCGAGTTCCCTTTTCTGCCCAACGCTGATGCATTTTTCCTCTTGCCAGATTCTTTCCGCGGTGCAACACCTGCTACTCTTCTGTGAACGTTTGGAGTGGCTCAACCAGGCCCCACGAGCCGCAAGAACGGTTGTCGGGAAATCAGGGTGGAGGGATTCCCAGTCTCCGCAACGCCGATGCTATTTATCAGATGTTCGGTCATCGCTGGATAGAACGGTCATGCTTCGTGGGACTTGGAGCTACATCCAAGAGTCAGTCAGCCCTACGCCAAGAAACAATATATGCCAATCACCGTTTATCATGAATGATTTCATGATTCATGAATCAGGAGCATAAAATTTGAAGCCGTGTTCAGAATCCACCATCTAAGACCCGAGTCCATTTATTATTATGCAACTCCACGGTTCGCTTTGCTCGTGGTTACACCCACATCTCGTTATCTGGCTTCTGACTGGACAATAATCTTCCTGAGAACCACGCCGCGCTGACTGGTGGGGCCGAATTCACCGTCAAATTTCTGCTCTAACTCTCTCATATCAAAAGAGAGCGGAAAGTCATTCGATCACCAGTTTAAAAGACTAAATCCCTTATTCCATGCATTCTGATTACCATGGTTTATATAGTATTGAACATGACATAAACGATATATGCTGAGAATATGGGTTAGATCTGTTGGTGTTTTTCTGCCCTGCTAGGATTCAGCGGGTTATCCGCGCTTCACGTCTCATAGCTATCAAGGACTTTAAAGCAGTGGTCGAAACCCAGCCCGATTATCCAGGGAGAAAACGAGAGCTCTCGTTCGATTTCTGATCGTGTTTTAATGTCCTCGGTTCGGTGAGGAAGAGTGGCTCATGGCTCTTCTGAATCGTGATAACACTTTGCAAGAAGTATCCCAGCACCGGCGGCTCTAATCGTTAATGTTGACTCTGGCTCTCAATCACTTTCTGGCGTGATAACTGAAAGATTAGTAATTATCAGTTCTAAAATCATCTCAAAATTATAATAGAAACTTACGGCTTGTTCAGAATTGCGTGATATTTCCGCCTACAACTGTCCTACAAAGTTGCTATCTGAAATAAGGACTTGTGGACACTTCACTGATGGTCTAGAGGGCTATGAGGACGAGGTATGGACTTAAAACAGTAGTTACGAAAGGAACACGGACGAACTGGGTGACGTACAGCAAATGACCGAAATCGATCCCACCTGATGATCAATGCCTTCGTTAACTAACAAAGTAATGAAGTTTTAATGCGTTCATCCCTTGCTGGCCGCCCCGGTCTCTTTTCTTTCCCGTGTGCCACAGAAAAGGCCTCTCCAAACGCATGTTGATGGGATGGAAAGCTTGTCAAGAGGAGTGGGGAGAGGCATCGCCGACCAGGTGTGAGATGAGAGTCGGGGGGTTATTCAACTATACTCCATTCCGTAGCGAACGGAGCTACACTGTAATCTGTAGAGGCTGAACATATACTTGAGAGAACATTCAGCAGCCGGGGACCATGACATGGCAAGATCCCAATCAACCACGAATAGCATCCGCTTGAACTATGTCGCCCAATTGTTGCATACCTCGTCCACTTCGCCATGTGCAACACTAGATCGGTGGTGTATCTGGGAAAGTTTGCCGTGCGCGCTGTGATGCGAGTCCTTGCCAATAACCACTAACAATATCCCTGTCAAAGCGCTGAGAGGAAGTACGCAGTAGTTTTTCGACTCATTAGCGCTTGGGGCCAAGTGTTGGTATGAGCAGCGATATTTTCGGCATCATGATCCTAATAAGAAAATTGATCTAGAATTTGTGAGGAAGGTTTTATGGAGAATCTCGCTTATATTATGGAAAGATCTTTTTCTGTTGTTTGATCCTCGATGGTCATCTTTAAATGTTTGTGCTTATGTAGCCGTCAGCCCGATATAAGGTTCATTGCCCTTATAATTAAATATCGAATTTCGTTATAGAATCGTTTCTTTCGAGCGTATTCTTCATTTCCACTGGCAATTGACAATGGACTACACGTTCGCCGCCTCGCCTCCCTTCTCACCTGAAGATTCGCATTTTCCTTTCAGAGTTGAAGTAGCAGAGAGTGCTTCGGATCTATCCAGCCCCACATCTCCCAATGTAAGCCTGCCTCAAATTTATATTTGTCTGGATTGTAGCTGATGGATGAATCTAGGGAATATCTCATCCAATGTGTACATACACGGAGAGCCCATATGACATGCTTTCAGTTGGCAACCCTCCAACGCCTTATTATGATCCTATGGCGGGGAAGATTCCAGTAGAATATATTGGTTCAACATCGCTTGATGGACATGATGGAAGACGAAGTAAATCGAAAGATAAGGAAAAAGTCTCCAGCATGCACCTAGTAAGCATTGATATTCAATACAACCCCATGTTCCAGATTCGGCCGCTTAGTTAATTCTCAAAATTCAAAGAGACGTCGCGCCCAAAATAGAGCATCTCAACGAGCCTTTCGAGAACGAAAAGAAAGACACCTCAAAGGTCTCGAAAGCAAACTGCAAGATCTGCACAGCAAACACCAGAATCTGCTTCAGTCCTACCACCAGCAAACAGAAGAAGTACAGCAGCTCAACACGCGCATTCAACAGCTGACCGCAGAGCTCGATCTTTTGAGATCAGCTACCGACGGCACAATTGGCGAAATTCTAATGCCTGACAAGTTTGATGTCGTCCCGTATCCTATGCTGGCGGCTTCTAGTCCGCAACATCATTGTGAGGAAGCGTTCAAAATAATTAGCGATTTAATGGTATACCCGCCTGAATACTATGATAGACTGCAGGAAACGAAGAAGTGTGGGGAGGGGGCAGTATATTGAAGATGACTTGATGATGTCCTTTTTCTAATCTCTCTCACCCTGGAATGCCACACAAGCTCGGTGCTTATGCAGGGTTGATTATTCCTGCTTTCGTAAAGGTGGTTTTGGGAATATGCGACTTAGTTAGTTTTATGGAATCAGCCATCATACATTATCGCGGTGTTATAACAACCTCCAAGTGTCAAGAAAGGAAGCAATATCTATCCACTGCAAAAACCTTTCAAATTCGCAAGAAGAACAGCTTCTTTTTCATATCAATCAATTGGCAGATTGCGGTTTCTCTTGTACACCTCAAATCCTTCATAATCTCATTGTTGAGATCCTAAAAGCGCCTGTTGAAGTCAACTGGGTGACAAGGTTCTGCCAACACCACAAGAATGTAATCAAGTCAGTTTACCTGTGAAATATAAACCAAAAACGCAAGAATGCAGACAATTCAACATATTTCAAGCATTATTTTGATCTTGTAATAGATTTATTACTACTACTATTTTTTTACTTGTATTATGAGATTTGATGATTATTTTGCTGATCTTTCTTAATCTGACAGCTGCAAGCAAAGATCACACAATACAATATTGAACCTGGCAATATTTACAACTTCAATGAAAAAGGATTTCTATTAGGACTCATCCACACTCTCAAATGTATTGTATCGATTACCGCTCTCAAATCCGGATGTGTGATAGGTGCCAGTCAGGATGGCAGTTGAGAATTCATTACACTACTTGCTGCAATTTGTGCTGATGGAACTGCTCTCCCACCTGCTCTCATATATCAAGGAGAATCAAGAGATATGCAAGATACTTGACTGAAGAATTTTGATAGTGAAAAGAATCAGATTTACTTTGCTGCTTCAGAAAATGGATGAAGCAATGATGAATATGAATTAACATGGTTAAAGAAGGTCTTTGAACCTCTTACAAAAAAGAAAGCCAGGCGCAGATACAGGCTTCTTATATTAGATGATCATTCATTCCATGTTAATATAGCATTCATCAATTATGTGGAGTGAAATCAGATTCTACTTGCTGTCCTACCTCCCCACTCTACACACTGATTACAGCCACTAGATATTGAAATATTTGGACCATTGGGCAAATCATACTTCAAACAATTGAATGAATGAATGAGAACTGGAATGGGATTCATACACACTACAAAGAGGTTTTTTTGACAGCTATTTCATCCTGCATGGCATGAGGCATTTACATCTTCAAATATTGCATCCACGTTCGCCGCCGCTGGCCTACATCCATTTGATCCGGAATGGGTTCTTAAAAAGCTTGCAATACGGCCTTGCACCCTCTCAGATGCGCAATATAGGCCAAGAATGCCTACTTCTACTGTTGGCATGCAGAAAATGATTAAGCAAGTCAAGCAGCAGCAGCATCATCAAATATCTAATGATCTCAATCAACTGATCCACGTGGGTGAAAATCTTGTTCTTGATAAAGAGATTCTTTTAATAGAGAACAGGCAGCTACAGCAAGCTCTTAATCAAGAAAGGAGACATCACAAGCATGGCAGGATCATGGGATTGCTAGATTCTTCAAATCCATCATTGGCACAGTTCTTTTCACCGGCAAAGATGCAGCACATCCGCGAGCAAATGACGGCTTCCGAAGCTGTCAAAAAGAATGAGCAGGCTTGTAAGGAGGATGCCAAGTTGCAACACACTCTTTTTAAGAAGCAGAAGAAGACAGATATCATGAAGCAGTGGATGCAACAGAATGAACAGCTAAGACTGCAAGAGCTGCTCAACAGCAGATTGAAAAGAAGCTTAAAGATGCAAGAAAGATTCAAGAAAGATTCAAGAACAAAAAGAGGGAGAAGAACAAGCTGCTGTACAGCTGCAATCACAGTTGAATAAGGAAAAGATTGAAGAATTCAAAAATCACCTTCCTAATCGGGAAATCAGACCCTTGATTTCACAAAGAGTGGCTAAATCACATTTTCAGAGCTCTGTCAGTGTGCCCACGGATCCGCCGCCAGAGGGATCTGATGATATTGCAATCTCTACTGATTTGATGACTGCCTGCTTGCTGAATCTGCCTCCACCCAAGATTTTGTGTTCTGGGTGAGTTATTAAGCCAAACAAACGTCTACAAGATTAGCTATATATTTTTGTATGTAATTCTATGTATTTATTTTCATCATATAATATTTTATCTTAAAATCTAATTGCGTTGTTGAGATATCATTGAGATGATTCCATCAAAGTAGTGGCGAAATGGCGAGCGTTAGGTGGAAACGAGCGTTAGGTGGTTGATTACGTTACCGATCTCCTGTATTTCACAACCTTCAGGTGCGCTGTCCCTCCCTAGGCGCCACCTCCCCACTTGGGTTTTTTTATCCATCTCAAGAGTGGGAAGTTCAAACGGACGTTTACGCCGTCCGTTTGGCGAACATCGTAATACTAACAAGTCCTGGAGGCACCAAATATCAATGAAGCGGAGATCAAATCATAATCCGCCCTAAAATTTTAGCCGCAAAAGGGGCTGCGCGCTATCTTGAACAAACTTCCCCTCTTCCGCCAAACGGCAAACGCAAAGAAAAATGACGATATTGTCTTTGAAAATAGTGGAACACCGGTGCCAGCCGTCCTATTCATGCCCTTTTCTCTGTCATCCCATCCGAGCCAAGCAGGGGTCCTCTCGTCAGCTCCAAAGGGGATTCAACCATCCCCAAATCCCGAAAATAGCATCGAAGGCCCCCAAGGATTATTTGCCATTTATGCGTGCCAAAAAATAATAATGTCGAGCATTATGGTCAAGTCTGATTAGTATTGAATACCGACTAATCCCGTAGGGGAAAGATTACTTTTTGAGATCGCGAATTCCGGGAGGGGAGGTCCAGCTTTGACATCAGATGTTCGTTTTGCTGTGGGGTAAGTAAGGATGGCATGTAGCAAGTAGCGCCTGAAAAGAGACAAGTTCTGAAACTCCTATACTTTGCAGGAGTTAAAAGGTTGAAAGTGGCTTGGATCCCTTCCCCTCCCCCCTTGGGGATGATCTCGCTGGCTTACAATCTTTGGGTCAGGCCTCCCTCCTACTTTACCGAGGTTCTTTAATAATATGTTACGGCTTGGTCTTCAATCATGATGCTCCTGATGAAGACGTTGACCGAACAGATGCTAAGTCGCATTTGGCAGTCTGCTGGCTTGGAGATAGACAGCCATGGATGATTATCCTCCCCATTTGAATCCAACTGCGACTCAACTTCAACAGCCTTATGTTACCGTTTAGAGTTAGGGAAATTTCGAGATTTTGTGATCCTTGTTTGCTCTTCTCATAAGCGAACCCACGGGAAACCATTCATGACGTTACCAACCTTCCGCCTAGGCTCAATCAACCTAGCTAGGCATTCTCAAAACGAATCTGTTGGTGATGAATATTAGTGGTTGATGGTCGAATCCGGCGGCTAAGGCAAGCCTAGCCTACCCTATTCGTGTATGCCCACTGAGATTCTCAATCTGGGAATCGTGCCTGATTTAATGGAGTCAACTATGCAGATTCCCTCTTCAGCGACGTTGATTTTAAAGAGAAAGCTAGCTATACAAAGTCACGGCAGCTACGGTGATCCACGTTGCATTAGACTACCCGCAACATTGGGATTTCCAATATGATCTTTGGGAAGCAAGAGTCATGTATATGGTTGGGACCAATGGTGGCTGATATCCAGGCCCCAGATATCGGTGGACGACCACCGAGACTAACAACTTCTGGAGGGCCCATGATCGTCGTTCAGTTTCGGTGATTGAACGCCGTAGGTCAGCAACGTCGGACGTCCGACTTTTTTTCGGGAGCCGCTTCTGCACCGCCCAAGTGGTATATCTCCTGCCGCCACAAAAAGTCGCAGCTCCAAAGCACAGCTGCAGGTTGACAAAAGCCTTCAAGAGGCGCAGACACTCTATCCGCAATCCGTGTTAGTTTGATTGCAGAATCATACAGTTCCTCAACTGACAAACTCCACCTCCACCATTTTGCACGGCCAAGGCCAAGGCTTCCCTACGCACAGGCGCAGAGACCGTTTCGCCAAGTGTGACTCCGTGGGCAGAACAGCTATATCTTATCTACGATTTCGGAAGGATTGTTTTGTTCGAATCAGGTGTCAATCCTAGTACAAGCGCGATTAGCGCTGGAAGCTAACCACACCAGCCGCCAAACTTTTGATGTCTTCCACCCAACTTTCATGCAGTGCAACTCCGTCGAACGACTTGGGTCCTAGATCAGATTTGCTTGCAGGCTTTGCAGGCTGTTCTCACCATTGGCGTTCATTTTGGATATGGTATTTGATTGAGTCGCTGACCATATCCTCCAGTGTGATAATTCTCTTGGTTATGTCAGAAATTCCATTGTTGTCTAGCTGAGGATACTGCAGCGCTCAGAGTATGCTCCCCGGCTGAGCGGGTTGGATTCATCGGCGAGCATGGGCTATTTCAAAAGTTGCCTAGATGCTTTTCCTTGTGTTTCACTCGCGTCTCTCGGGTCGCACCATCAAGACCTAGAGGTGAGGCAAGGTAACTTTCATTATTGCCCTCCCAACCACCCGTAGCTGGTCCCTCCATTCTCCATCCTCTCTCTTTGCGATTCAGTCTATATCACATGCTATCCACCGTTTCATATCTACTTTATAGCCTATTGGCTATCGCTTCTGAATTCAGATGCGGCGCTCTATTATCATATTGTCCACCATAGTGTCTTAAAATTATATGAAATTATATGAGCGGTCACTGCAGATTGTGAAATGGTCTGGGCCTCCTCTACCAATGGTAAGGCTGGATATGCTGGAATTAGCAATATGGCAGAATTATGCAGCGACTCAATTGTAACTTCCCATGTCTTTTGGAAACGGGTTAGTGAATAAATCATATAGTTCCCTCATCACAATTACAGTGAATTCTGGTGTCTCCTCGCGCCGCTCAATTTTATGGCAGTAAAATAGGTCTCAACAGGTAGTTCTAGTGATACTTGACGCCATATCTTAGATACTCGTAGGCGTTTAGGACGGGAGAAAGTGCGGGACTCCTAAAGAAATTATTAGAATATTCGAAATCAGGGTTTGGGGGGGGGGGGGGGGGTGGTGTTGGTAAAATGCAAGCCCTTGCAGACGCAAACTTCAGCTCCGAACTGTGCGGATTCCTCATCCTTTCTCTTCTTCGGATTCCCCCACTATTCCCTTGGAAATGTGTGTTCCGTACGATACGATACACCTGTTCGTTTTGAGGGGGAAGAGAGACAAAAGACTACCAATTTGTTGCAATTGAGACCGGAGAGTTGTTGGGCTGCTTGCTGGCAGGAAGCTCATTTGGGGGATTTCGTCCCAAATTGATAGAAACAAAGAAAGTATTGCCTCCACCATGTTACGGATAACAAAACATAACTAGTGGATATACAAGCAACAGGCAAGATTGTTATATACCAGAGTCAATGCCCGCAAACGACGGCAGAAAATGACCATAATTTGCGTCTCGGGCTGTTCCCCTTCGCATTTAGATATACACCCCATCGAATTTGACGATGGGCCATTAAAGATTCAATTTTCAGGCCCGCATGCATGGTCCAAGTAAAGCGCTTGTTCCAGCAAGAATTAAAAATTAAGATGAAGCTCTCTCGGTACACACTCGACGCTAATTTTACAATACATGCCCGTTCCATATAAACGCCATATAAACGCCAATAAAACACTGCGGGAAGCTGTAATTTTCGTACGCAAGTTGTCATCCATGGCGGGGTTGGTCTCAAAAAGGCCTAGCCCTAATTTCTGTTTTGGGCGCCAGAACCGCTTCTCTCCTGCTCGGCCTTTCTTCTCCAGATTCTCCTCCGTATACCATCTCGCGGCCAGCGATCCCTCTCTTTGCTCCTGTGTACACTCCCGTCCCGCGTCTCTTATTCCTCATCGCCTCTCTCTCGTTCCGCCGCCGTCTTTCGTCCTTCTACTCCCCCGCTGAAACGCACAATGAGCGAACCCACTCACCCCACTATCAAAGGTACGCTCTGTCCTCCTCCCGACGAAGATATCTCTCCCACCCTGCCACGAATTTTGCCGCGTCAATGCTGCTTACAACAGGCTCTCGTTATACTCTATGCTAACTCCGCAGTTTTGAATTTGATTGCATTGAATTAGATGGCTGGTTCTCAGAAATTTCCGATATGTGGCCAGGCCAGGCGATGACGTTAAAAGTCAATCAGATTCTTCACCATGAAAAATCCAAATACCAAGATGTTCTGGTATTCGAGAGCAGCGACCATGGCACTGTCCTTGTGCTGGACAATGTCATCCAATGTACAGAACGTGATGAATTTTCGTATGTAATGACGATTATATGTGCACCCAACCCCTTACCCCAACAATCCACCCCCCCCCTCCCCTCCCCTCCCCTCCCACGGGTTATGTAAAATGTGCTTTCTCAGATTAACTCCCGCCAATTAAACTAGATACCAAGAGATGATCACACATCTCGCGATGAACTCCCATCCTAACCCCAAGAAAGTACTCGTCATTGGTGGAGGTGACGGAGGCGTCCTGCGCGAAGTTGTCAAGCACGAAACCGTCGAGGAGGCTATCCTCTGCGACATCGACGAGGTACGCAGACAGCGGATCTCATGTTGATTGCCAGGACAATAAATCTCACGTCGAACAATTACAGGCCGTCATCCGCGTCTCCAAAAAATACCTCCCAGGAATGAGCGTCGGCTTCCAGCACCCTAATGTAAAGGTGCACGTGGCCGATGGATTCAAGTTCCTCGCAGACCGCAAGAACGAATTTGACGTCATCATCACTGACAGTTCGGACCCAGAAGGACCAGCAGAGGCCCTGTTCCAGAAACCCTATTTCGAGCTGCTGTTCAACGCCCTGCGTGAAGGCGGTGTCGTTACCACTCAAGGTTGTTCGTCTATCTCCTTCCCCAGTTCTTCTGCACGTGCGATTACTGCCCCAGAGAAGAAGGAGAATAAAAGGAAAATGCACATGCACAATTCAAACACAACAACGTACACATACCGTTCTGTATCCTTAAAATAGGGTATATATAGATATAAACATATATATACACCCTTTCCACACCCTCCCACCCCCCCATCACACCACCTCACCCCCTCCCTCACCAAGGCGAGAAAATCACCTCCACCCCAAACTTGCTGAAACAGAAGTGCTAACCCCACGCCCCCTTCCCCCCTCCTTCACTCCTCTTTTAACCCCCAACAGCCGAAAACCAATGGCTGCACCTCTCTCTCATCACAGATTTGAAGCGAAACATCCGCGAGATCTTCCCCGTGGTGGAGTACGCCTACACGACGATCCCCACCTACCCCTCGGGCCAGATCGGGTTCATGGTCTGCTGCAAGGACGCGAGCAGGGACGTGCGCGAGCCTGTGCGCAGCTGGACGCGTGCGGAGGAGGAGAAATTGTGCCGGTATTATAATAAGGAGATTCACCGCGCGAGCTTTGTTCTGCCGAATTTCGCCCGGAAGGCGTTGGATATGTAGAAGGGGGTGCGGGGAGAAACAAGGGCGCAGTTGAGATTTTTTCTTCTTCTTCTTCTTCTTCTTCTTCTTCTTCTTCTTCTGATATGTATTGCCTCTTTCCATTGAGGGGTAAGGCAGTTCAATTAATGGGCAAAAGTGAGTGGGTGAGAGGGACTTGAAAAGGAATTGATTGAGGAAGGGGGAAGCGGATGAGTTGTCTTAGGACAACATTTTATATACCTACCTACCTGCCTGTCCTGTCGTATGAGGAGGGAAATGATATGCAAAAAAGAAGGATGTATGGGGAAAAATAAATAAACAAAAATAAAAATAAAATAAAAATAAAAATAAAAACACCAACCAAAAACAAACCATCAGCTAGCAAACAAAACTAATGAATAAACGAAGTAGCCTAGACGAAAGGGCTGGGGATCGGATTACATCTTAACTCTCTCGCTTGTTCTGATAGTTTAAGCTTAGACGAATAAGGTATTTTTAAAGATAGCAGATAGCAGATAGCGTGACCCTCTCAGGCAAATCGGCGGGGTTATGAATCTATTTCCCCTTTGCTTCCATGTTCGATTGATTTATACATTGATCTATTTCTTGACTGTTTTGTTTTTCGTTTTTGGAGAGGAGCAAGAGGTAGAACAATCAACCAACCACCAACTAGCTACAGTGTCCTCTGCAATCATATTTTTATCTCCTACGGCGACAGGAGAGGCTCGCCATGTCAAAAGTAAGCCCGGTATGATAAGACCTGCAGGGGCATACAGTTCCCTTCCCAACTTCTCATGCCCAAAATTATATATTCGGAATGCGGCGCGTCGTAATAAGAATAAGAAAATGGAGCAATTTTGTATTTCTCATTTTTATATCATGTAAGAGCCGAGGCGGGATAGATCTATGCGATTCCGTAAATTAAAAAAAAAAACCAGGAAAGAAAGGAAACGTGAAAACTGGGAATGAAAAGTTTTTGTGGGAGGGGGTTGAATACCAGGAGGGAATGCCCGAGCAAAAGGGAGTAAATGGAAAGCTACCTCGGTGGGAGGAAAAAACGAAAAGTAAAAAAAAAGGAGAGAGAGAAAGAGAATTCCCTTTCTCATCTTTCGTTCTCGACGTGCGTTCTTACGGCTTCTTTCCTTTTCCCTTTTACATTCATTTCCTTCATTTTTAAAAAGCTCATGACACCTCGGAAATGAGAGTTTAATCTTCTGAAGAGAACTCAGAGTCTGTATAAGCGTGTTTAGATGATTTGCTGGAAGGCACGGTTGAGAGGAGAGCGGACGCAGGCACCCTTGTAGAAGTCGATGGTGGCGACGGCGCGCTTGCTGATACCTTCAGGGGTAAATTCGAATTTCTAAAAAAAAAAAAAAGAGTAAGCAGATAGATCAGTATTTTTCGCCTAAACATTTTAAAACTAATGAAGAGAAACTCTAAGATCTTTTTGTTTTGTTTGGTGGGAAGTGAGGTGTATGGATGGAGGTGGGGGGGTTAGGGTGTTGTTTGTGGTTCTCTTGGATTGCAACGGTAATTTTTTTCCCCTTCTTTCTTGAACTCACCTTGTACACATCCTTGTAAGGACCAGAAGCACCGAAGCGGTTAAGACCGAACTGTTCGTGTGAATATCGCTCCCAGCCAAGGGTGCTCAGGACCTCAACGGACATGACAGGGATGCCGTCTGGGATGACGGAAAGTCTGTATGCCTTATCCTGGACATCAAAGACCTCGAAGCAGGGCATGGAGGCAACGCGGGCGACAATATTATGTTTCTCCTTGAGGTACTTGGCCGCGTCAATGCAGAGGCTGACTTCCGAACCAGTACTGATAAGGGTGATGTCGGCGTTTGGCGTCTCAAGAGCAACGTATCCACCACGGATGGCTTTCTCGATGGTGGAGCTTTCGAGCTGTGGCAAGTTCTGGCGGGTCAGGGCCAAGATGGAAGGGGTATGTCGCGATGTCAAAGCAGAGTAGTAAGCGGCACTTGTCTCGTTACCATCGGCTGGGCGCCAGACCATGACGTTTGGCAAGGCACGGAAGTGGGCAAGGGTCTCGATGGGCTGATGAGTGGGGCCATCTTCACCAAGACCAATGGAGTCGTGGGTTGCGATATAGATTGTGCGGACTTGCGAAAGTGCAGATAGGCGAACGGAACCGGCGGCATAAGATACGAAGTTGAGGAAAGTACCTCCAGCGGGGATGAGGGTCCCGTAAGCAGCAATGCCGTTCATGATACCGGCCATTCCATGTTCTCGCACACCATAGCGGAGGTAGCGGCCGGACCAATCACCGAGGCCAGTGCTTGGTGGCTGGAAGTCAACAGCGTGCTTCCATCTGGTGTTGTTTGAGCCAGTCAAGTCGGCCGATCCAGACAAAAGCTCGGGGATAACATTGTGGATCTTTTCGAGCACAGTTTCAGACAACTTGCGGGTTGCAACTGCAGCATCGCTTGGGGAGTATCTAGGAAGGTTCTTCTCCCAACCTTCAGCAAGTTTCCCAGAAAGCCGACGGACCAAATCAGCATGTTCGGCAGGGTACTTGGATGCATATTGTTGAAGAAGAGCATTCCATTCCTGCTCCCTGGCAGCGCCCTCGGTGGCCTTCTTCCGATAAAGGTCATAGACCTGCTGGGGTACGACAAAGCTTTGTTCAGGATCGAACCCGAAGAGCTGCTTTACTCCCCTGGAGTCATCGGGTTTCAGGGCGCTTCCGTGGACTCCACCGGTTCCCTGGAGCTTTGAGCCAAAACCGATGGTTGTCGTGACTTTGATGACGGTTGGCTTATCCTTTACCTCCTTCGCCTTCTGGATAGCAGCCTCAATGCCGGCGAGGTCATGGTTACCATCCTCAACATGAATTGTGTGCCATCCATATGCCTCAAATCTCTTCATGACGTCCTCAGTGAATGCGACGTTGGTATCGCCATCTATTATCATTCATCCCAGGGTAAGTCCAAAAATGTTCTGCTTTGATTCCAATGCCTGAGAAGAGAGGAGAAAAGAGCACGAGTACTCACCGATAGAGATATGGTTGTCATCATACAAACAAATCAAGCCGCCTAGCTGAAGATGACCAGCAGCACTGGCTGCCTCACTGGCAACACCCTCCATCGCACATCCATCGCCGAAGATACAGTAGGTGTAATTGTTGATGAGGTCGAAGCCAGGCTTGTTGAACACGGCACTAGTATGGGCTTGGGCAATGGCAAGGCCAACAGCATTGGCGAAACCTTGACCTAACGGTCCAGTTGTTACTTCAACACCGGGTGTATCATGGGCTTCGGGATGGCCAGGGGTAATGCTATCGATTGTCTACGGAATGTCAATAACGGAAATATATATAAGGGGCAGTAATCGTCGGGCGATTCAAGGCAGGCCACTAACCCGGAAGGCTTTTAAGTCTTCCAACGAGACAGCATATCCAAACAGGTGGAGTAAAGCATATTGGAGCATACAACCATGTCCGTTCCTATCCACAAAATGTTTTCAAAAGATTTATTTAGCTCCACCTTCCCGATAACAGGGAACGCGCAATGACGTAATACTTGGAACGAATTTGGGAACGAATTTGTTAGGGGCTCCAGAGCAATCGAGGGACTTTGGGCCCCCTTCAACAAATTTCAACCACAGTCTTCCCGGTCAAGGATTTGCTGTCCTGCTTAAAAAAAAAAAAAAAAAAAAAAAAAAAAAAAAAAAAAAAATTAAAGGGAGGGGCAGTATTTGAAATGAGGGATGAAAAAGCAACAGGCGGCGGAATGCGCGGGGTATGCGGAAAAATGGACAACATAGCACGTACGAGAGGACGAATCGATCCCTGTTAACCCAGTTGGGGTTCTTAGGGTTGAAAGTCATAAATTTGTGAAAAGGAATC